GGTGTCCGGGTGGTCTGGTCCAAGAATCTTCTCATGCCCCTCCAGTACACGCCGATTCATCGCCTCTGATTCATCGTACTTTCCTTGGGATCGTAGCACAATGGCTAGGTTGTTGACACTCGTTAGGGTGTCCGGGTGGTCTGGTCCCCGAATCTTCTCGCGCCCCTCCAGTGCACGCCGATTCACCGCTTCTGATTCATCGTACTTTCCACGATACCGAAGCGCCAGAGCCAGGCAGTCGAAAGCCTCCAGGACGATAGAATTATTTGAGCGCAATGATCCCTCAATATCCTCCAATAAACCCCGAAGTATCTTCTCGGCCACATCTGCTTTTCCCTGATATGCGCTTACCCTCCCTAGGAGTGTGACCCTCCTCGGACCTTCCCCATCCCAGTCGTACTCTTTATTCTCTTCCCGCAGTGCTATACATCGACGCAATTGAGCTTCTGCGTCGTTGTAGAAACCCATATTCATAAAGTACCATCCCAGGCGAAAACAAAGCTCTTCGGCGGTAGGATCCGTTGAACCTTTGGTTACAGCAAGCGCATGTGGAATGTATGCAGAACTAACGTCTCTCCACGTGTTCCAATGGCAAGGAAAGTGCCTTGAAACAACTCCGAGCGCAGTAGCCCTCCATCGATTCAACTCCTCTGTTGGTAAGTACACTTGCAAAGACAGTTGGACCAACCGGTGAAGCTCGTAAAATGTCTTGTCCTGAGTTTTGACAGTCGTAACTAGTGAAAATCCCAAAAGTTTTCCAGTGGCCTGACGAAACTCAATTGGATCATCCGCCCCTCCCAAACCACTTTGATTCAATAGCTCCTCAGGGATGTTCTGACGATCGAGGAAGGCAATCAAACGCAGGAGCTCCGCCGCTAGGGGCATCTGCCTTGTGATTCGGTCAAAGGTGATAAAGTACGTGGCTAGGATACTTTCGGTCATGTCCGCCTCTCGTTGTATCTCACAAAACGGTTGCAAAAGGAGTCTCTTTGCTTGTTCGTCGCTTCCCCGGAAAATGGTCCAGTATTCAGAGGGCGGTGTCTGGGTTTCTGTCATGAAGGCTGCCGCTCCCACAATTGCCAGCGGGATGTGGTGCAGGGAGCCCAAGATCAATGCAGTGGCCTCTTTCTCTTCCTCTCCCAATCTGTTCCCGTTACCATAGCGTTTCGAAAACAATGCCGTGGCTTCATCCTCCCCCATTTCCCCTACGCCAATCCTTTCGCAATCCTGCCAAGATGCAACCCGTACTGATCTGGTGGTGATTATAAGGGTACCCCTCGGGCCTTGTGGCACAAATTTGGAGATGGGACCGCTATTGCCAATAAAGTCCTCCTCGTTGTCGGCATTGTCGATAACTAGTATCCAATCACCACCATCCGGACCTTCAAACCACCTCTTTATACTAGTTAATAATTCCTCTTGCTCCATCTCAGCGCTGGTTAGGGGAATTCGAACATGCTGTGCAATGGCTTTGAAACCCTCAATAAATTTCAATACCCCACTCCCCTGCACCCAGAAAACATGACAATCGACCTCGCTTGCACGCTGATAGGCATACTCCAGGGCGATCTGAGTTTTTCTAAACAATGTTAGTAATCCTCCGAGATAACAGTAACGATAATGGAATGCATACCCAGAACCGCCGAGCCCATGAAGTGCGATCCGGGTATGATCGTTATGGCTGTATATCCTCTTTATCGACTCAAGGAGATCTTTGCGGCCAGTAAACTTTCTATTTCTGCGATAGGGGATTATCCGGTAAGGCCCAGTTTCTCCTTCCACTTGCGATAACACATTAGTTCCTTGTCTGAAATCTCGCGGGAAAATCGGTAATACCTCTCCCCTCAGCTCCAAATACACATCCTTGATATATCGTTCCGTGATTGGAAGCACTGTTCAGGTAACTCGTGTATGCGTTATTATTATTAAAACTACCAATAACATTATGATCCCCTGAGTTTCCACTAAAGTCTCCCCTAACATAGCCTTGCATTTTTCTGAAAAGATTATTAGCCGACTGCTTGTGATTTCTGAAATTGCGGACATTGAAGAGAGGGGGAGCCCACCGATCCATCAGGTATTCAGCTCACTTCACGGGCTGTCTTCAAAGGCCAGGTAGAAAAAGTAATATGATGTCGCTATCGTATCCGAAACGGGTTTGATAGCCTATATTGAGGCAGCCTAAAATCTTTTCCCAAACCCCGAAACAAGGCAATAACGCGACATACGGTAGAAAGGGTAGTTGAGGATGCACCCTTGTTGTGGGGTCGAATAACCCTCTGGTCCCGAGGTAGCTGCTGGTAGGGGAGGGAATCCTGCTCGGGCTCTTTGGATTTGGCGAAGCCGAAAGCTTTGGGTTAAGGGCAGTGAATGGGTATATGAGGGAAGCGACCAAGTCTTGGGGCAGCTGAAGTGATTGAAACTCAATCTCCGGAAATCAGAAGTGTTCGAAGTCTGCGCGGGCGAGAGGGTGGAGAAAAGCGGACAGTACGGTGCTGTAACAGTAGGGTGTTGGCTGTCTGCTGCAGTTTGGGAATGCAACGCTGATCGATTAGGCACCAGTCGCACTTTGACTGCCGTGTGGCATTTTACGCATGTCTCGTTCAGCCGCATGATAGATGAGACGCTCAGTCACATTTCACAACTACTCGAACACCTGCTGACTGCAGAGCATTTTCCTGCATGCTACAGTAGCCGCGCATTTTGGAATCTTCGTACTCGATCAGCCAGAGCCTCTAAGAATACCGAATTGATCCCCCCGAATGTTGCCGATTCTTGAGTACTCGAGTACTCGTTACACGAAGAGGGCTGTTTGACCCCGCCTTGGAACAGGCCTTGTAAATAGTATCATTTCCTGATAGCTTAGGGTTGCCCTGTCTCCGTCGTGACATGAACCGATCAGGCGTGTAATTTCTGAGCTGGTGCATAAAATTGCAAAAAGAGGCGAGAGACAAGACTCCTCTACCGTACGGTACGGTACCATACCGATCATAAATTTGGTTTGATAAATCCCATGAAAGTTAGCCGGCTTAAGTCAGGGCGCCCAGCTGGGAATTCCCAATGGAAATGTGAGAGGTGGAATTGCAGGTCGCACGAGGCTGGAACATTACGGTATCGATAAATATCCAGCAAATACAGTAGGCTTCGGCAACGCAAATCATGCTATCGTGCCAATACGGGTGAGCTCCCGCCGCCCCCCCCAACGAAGAACCATTCAAATTCAAACCGAAGGGGGTACGATAGTTCACCCTTTTTTTTTACGAGTATTGTACCGTACAAGACTCGGTAGTAATGAAAAATGTCAAGCCAGTTCCGATCTCCTTCCAGGTTCCTAGCAGAGTCCCTCCATCCCACCACCCGAAAATCCTCAGGCCTGCATAAGCCATTTTCCGCTGTGCCGGCAAGGGTCCTTTCACATCGCAAGTACGGAACGGGCATAAATTATCCGAAGTCTAGATGCACATGTGGTTTCGTGAGTACGGTGCATAGATACCGGTATTTGCGGAACTGTGAATGTCAACCTAATTTTAAAAAGAGCGCCAAGCCCGTTTATTCCTCTCACGGGATGCAGATTCCATGGGCGTTCTTAAATCGGGTTAGTAGTTGGAGGATAGCGAATAGGCACCATGGGTGGAAAGCCTTCACAGCGTCCGACCTTTTTTAGCAGTTACTACCCGTTGGCGTGGCGCTTCTTCAGCCGACACCTCTAGCGACACGAGGCTCGAGTCATTGTTGGGGGGAAGAGGACCTCTGGTAATAGAACCCGGGAGTTAGACGGGAGGCAGGTTGAACCGTGCTTTAGAAGGTGGGGATTCACCAAGGCTGCCGCCTTTGTGCCTTAATATATATTAAGCAAAAGCGGTAGAATAAGGCGTAGCAATTTACTACAAATTTGAATCCAGCATGAGTGTTGTCTCCGGGGAAAATGAGGAATACTACACGTAGAAAAATGCCAATAAATTCGGGGGTCCTGGCGCCAAGGTTTCGTGCTTTCAGAGAACCCCGGAACCAGTACAAATTCGCCGATACTCATGAGATTCCCATGTAATTTAACTTATGATGCTCTTTTCCCCAGGAAGGGTTCTCTCATAGAACTCCGTTGTTCGAACAACAGGTCCCAGCTCCTTGTATCACTTTTGGTGCAACCCCCCCTCACTCCGCCATTAGCTGGAGCTCCCCTCCACCCCTAACTCACTTGGCCACAGCCCCCGCTCCGAAGCCCCCTTCCCCTTCGGCCCGGCCGGACCTCCCCTGTCATGCAAATTCTGGGGGCAGGTCATGCATCATAGAAAGGCTGGCTCTCCCACCCCACTCTTGTTTGCAGGATCGGATAGTTAAAAGGTTGAATCGCTACTATTCATCCCATGCGGTTCGACTACCCTATTGCACAGTACTCAAGTACCGTACAAGCACGATATAGGTACTGTACCCCACCAGCTGAAGTCTTTGCGAATACAAATTTGAGCCCACCAAATCATGATGATACACGGATAGAGTCTTCGAGCCCATCACTAGAAGCCTTCGCCTCTTCTCAGCTTCTTTTCCCGATAAAGGGCGGCCCTCTCTCCATGGCGAAAGCAGCTCATCATCTTACCCGAAATATCTGTCAGACACCCGGAGCGCGAGCTGGTGCAGACCGTTCGGGCTGCGGAGAAAAAATGGCACAACACGTCTGTCCTAGCGATCTTATAATACTTCACCTCTAGTTTCGTGGGGGCCATGAAAAACTGCCTACTTGGGTCAACACGAACAAGGGCGACGGACTCATCTGGGGGAATTCTCAATGGAAGCAGGACAAGCAGAGAAAACCTTTTCAATACCATGCACTTGGCGACCAACCTTTCGGGTAACTTACCAACCCCCGGGAAATATACCATCCAAAAGGTTTCACATAGCAACGAACAAAATCATAGAGGTCTATTTTCTGTCTATTTATTCCTCAAATAACCCAATTAATTTTAAAGAATTTGCAAAAAAAAGATTAGAAATAACCTGAAACGTCTAGATATTTTTCTACTTTTTTCACAATCTTTGAAGACCTTCTGTGAAGGTTTTAGCAATTTCCTCGGAACCCCCGGCACAATTTTCCACCCAAACCACACCACTTTGAAGCAAGGACAGACCAACACACAGGAGGTTTTTCTAACTATCATACAAAGAAAATTAAAGATCTAACCGTTGATCAGATTTATCTTTCTCCATTTTAGTTTATTCTTTGAATTTTTCCTTATCATTTTATGATGAGTTAAAGGTGAAGTAATTCTTTGCAAAGGTTTCACTTTGTCGAGGGTATATTTGCCGGCCGATGGTATCCGAAAGGTTTGTTGCCAAAATGCAGGGTATTGAAAAGGTTGACCCAGGACAAGCAGTATCGAAAGTCGCACAAGGCTGGCATGTTTAGGGTATCCGTGCAATATCTTGGCAGTCTGGCGCTTACCCGTTCCATTGACGTTCGTCGTCACCCCGCACTGAGAGATAATCTCGTAGAACTCCGCAGGCGAACCGTCAATCCGTCCCGTCCGACATGCCCGCGGACCGGTCGGAGAGGTTCGGCGGGGCGGCGACTGACAAATAGCCCAGCGGTACGATAGGTGATATAGGTGTGTGTCAGGGCGGGCGTGCAGGACGCGAGTATGATAAGAAACAGCGTTGTCTTGCCTTCGCTAGCTCTGAATTAACGACAAACACAATCGATATGTGAAACGGAAACGAAGCCTTCCTATCCTCTCATGCATCACTACGCACATCTTTCTTCCTCTCTTCCTCCGTGCGAGTCCATGTTCCTCTGTACACTACCCTAATACCAAAGGAAAGACAGATCCAGAGAAGCCACAGCGCAAGTCACTGGAGCTCCAGAAAAATCCATATCGCTCCCGAACAATCCATTGCATGCCTCTCACTTCCGGAATCGTGCACAACATCCCACACTTACTCCATGACCGCTAGCAGATCCCTCAGACTTAGCGTCGACCACCCCCATCACAGTAGATGCCCATACATCCTGAGGCCAAACCGAGTGCCACTCAGGGGCCCATTGACCAACTGGACCACGGCGCCCCACAACTCGGCCGGGTCGCCGCCCGGGGTCCTTCGATGAGTGGGTGCATGAACGACCCCCGGGTGCGGGTTGTAGGGAAAATTGGGGATGTAAGCTTATGTCCTCACGTAAACGGCCATGTCCAGCCGGGTTGTCGGGATAGAGGGAGGAAGAAATGCTTTTTTTCGATGCGGAATTATTAGGATGGGGCGCGCTCGAGAAAACCATGTGATCGGGGTGATGTGAAGAGGAAATGTGCTGTGAATTCGAGGTTTGTGATGATACTGATGCGCTAGAAGGAAAACAGCGGGATAATCGAGGAATATTAATTCTCAGCGTGCAAGTAATCTCTCTAGCATAAATCTTTGGGAATATACCGTGCTATATGGAATTGCCCACCATCGGGAACTACTCTCAAGGCTTTGAAACTTGTCGAAAGGTTCTGTCCCTTCCACCTCTCCACCTTTCCCAAACATGCGCATCACAAGGGCTGGCATTTGTAAATATCTGGAGATATCCGTGCATCCGCTGACAATAGGGCACATACCGGAAGTCTGCCAACGTCCCTAAGCACTGTGGAGATTTAGGGGCCGTCCGGCAGACCATGTGTTGAGATAACCATGGAGAATACACGGTTTTTCCTCACAAGTGATGTTACCAGAATATGTTTAGAGGTGTTAAAGCATGTTAAATGTGGTGTTAAGCAAATTTCTGGGCAGGAGAACCGGTGGAACACGTGTGTAGGACACAGGGTCATCTAAACACATGGTCTGCCAACCACCCCCTTAGCTCTGGCTGTTTTAAAATACCCCGATTTGTCGGTCCTATCTGATTATTTTGTGAGGATTTTATGAGGTTTCTAGATGTTTCTAGGGGCGACTGTTATGAAAGGCATTTTTGTGGGCAGGTGGCCCGGAAATTTACAGGAGGGGCCTTTTCTCCCTTGTCTCTCCTTCACAGGAACTTCGTTCGGGAATGGAACCTCGAACAGCAACGAAGATGAAACTACGAACTACGAACGCGAAACGGCCGTCCAAGGAACCTTGCGTGAACCGGAAAGATTGCGGGGAAAGTACCGAAGGGGAGAAAGACCGTGTTTCTTGGGAGTGGAGGAATCGTGATTCGGGAACAGCCAAAGGGCCGTGCTGTTATTCCGTTTCTCCGTCCAGGTAGCTGCCTGCTTTCTTTTCCTTTTCGTTTGAGGCAAGTGAAGCTTCTTCTTAGCTTCTTTCTTTCTTCGGTCCCTTACCCAGCCCGGAATTGTCATTTTCACCACTCACAAAGCCGGGCTTACGAAAGCCCCGGTCGCTCTCCGTTTGACCCCACCTAGCCAGGCTCTGTATCTGCCCGATGTCGGTAGCCCGGTCCGTCCGCTTGTGAACACTACTCTCGCATTGCTTCCTTTCTCATCTTCGCTTCTCCCCGCCCTCCTCTCTTCACTTTTATTCCGTTCACTTCACTTTGTTTCTCTCTCATATTCGTCTCGCTACTTGTCATGTCTTCCCAACAGCTCTTCTATCCCTTGAACTGCCTCACTTCTTGAGACTTCAAAACTCTCTTCCATATTTTTTTGACGGGGTGGTAAGCTACCACACATTTCCCCGTAAATCGAACCTGCATTAGCATATCTGAAATGAGAGAAATAAACAGAATAACTACAAACTTCACGAATAACGAGTCAAATCTGTGGTTTCGATGGGCGGGTGGGCGCCAACGTTTCGCGGTGCGCTAGGCAACAGATCATAGTGTCTAACCCATCCTACTGTCCTGGGTGTCCCGGAAGCATGGCGGGCTTGGAGACACCTGCTCTGGTGTTCGGGGTTTCCACCAGTCCCCCGGACAAGAAGCGGATTGGCTGTGATATCATATATATTCTGTCCTGTCCTGTAGAGGATATGCATGGGGTTTTTGGTGGCAGGGCACCGGGGGGGGGCTGGGGGGGGCAGGTGCACCAGAGATTTTTTTAATATCTGAGAATATAGGGCCGCACAGGGCCTAGGAGACAGACAAGGTATGGGTGGGTGAGTGGGTGACTCGGATTGTGTTTTGGCATCTAGCACATAATACCCAATTTGAATAATAACAAAAGAGTGAGTTTCCATGATTCTAAGAAGTCACGGGGTTGACGGGAAGGTTGTGGGGTGAGAAAACATAATAACAGATCATTTCCGATCACTAAAAGAGAAAAGTGATGATAGAAATTGAGATACCAAAGGGAAAGTGAAAAACTCCAACACTTCCTCCGTATTACGGTTCACTCAACAGCTCGCCAAACATGGGGTCTCCTAGGTTGGTCATTCACCATAGTCCTGCACGTTCTGCGGCTGTTACCAACACAGATTCTTACGGTCTCTTCCGCCGGTTGGATCACTGTCACTTCTAGTTGAGCCTGTTTCCATAAGATGCTGATAGGAATGGTACGAGGTCTGTAGAAAAGGGAGAAAATAGATCTGTATTTTCTTTTTGCTCTATACCATTCAGGTACCTTTCTCGCTTGCTGTCGATCTAACGGGCACAGTGGTGATCCATATAAAAGATATAGCTCTCTCCTCATAAAGATAGAGCTTCTCCCTGGCCCCTTTTCTTCCGGCTATCAGTCCGGCTTCTTTCCCGCTATATTCCCGGTCGGCGATGCTAGGGTGATAAAATTTGATTGAATTCCTTGACAAAATATATCTTTTAAGGCACTGGTGCAGTAGCGACATGATATGAAAGTGGCAATATCAGTTACTTTAGCTTTGTATTTAGAGCTTTTCTATGATAAAGAACCCTGAACCAAAGGAAATCTCCCTAGTATTTATACGCAGTGATTTAAACCGGCCTGAAATAAAGAATATGCCCGTTGTATTGCCAAAACAGTATACTCGGAAAAGAAAATGGAAAACAAAGTAATAGCATATGACCGCATTTTAACACCTATTTGATTCGTCTCAGTGCTGCCAAACCTTGAATGACCGAGTACCGAGCAGGAAAACCCCCTTATACTCTCTCTGCCGGCCGGTATCTGAGAGCCGAGGAAAGCTATTAGCTGCGAGCAGTTCCAACCAACTGCCTTCCGCTACCACATACCGTAGTCTTCAGAAAACTTAAAGAACCGACGAAGGACAAAGAAATATTGGTAAAGATAAAAGAACTTGGAGCCTATAAACCATAGGAATCCCGAAGGTATTCCAGCGAGCACCGGTAATTATGATCAGGAAGGCAGGGCTGCCTGTAGTGTGAGGGGTCACTATTTTGAGGTGTTGCCCTTGCGGAAGACCACTCTCCGCCGCAAATAACCTATAACACAGCGTGAAAATTGTGGTCGCATATCTACTGGGTTCCCTGGTGGTGTCTGCCCCGCACCCCGCTCAACTGTCGCTGAATCATTACCATCTCCTTGGAGTCGTAGGACCATAGCCAGGTTGTTGGCATTTAGTTGGGTGCGGGATGGTCTGGTCCAAGGGTCTTCCTGCGCCACTCCAGTGCACGCCGGTGCATCGCCTCTGATTCCTTGTACTTCCCTTGACCTTGAAGCACACCGGCCAGGTTGTTGACATGTGTTAGGGTGTACGGGTGGTCGTGCCCTAGAATGTTCACACACCCATCTAGTGCACGCCGATTCATTGCCTCTGATTCATCGTACTTTCCTTGGGATTGTAGCACACTAGCTAGGTTGCTGACACTCG